GGCTGCAGGCTGTCCATAGCCGAGTCACCGCTGCCGCCGCTGATCCCGGAGCTACTGAAGGTGGCCCCGTGCTCCTTCATTATTTGCGCGCCGACTCCTTCCTTCCAGCTCTCTCCACCAGGAGAACAAATCACCGTGGTGCTCTGCCCGGGACGGCCGGTGCCAAGTTTTCAGACACACGCCGCCCCCTCCCCGCCCCCCGGCTGGATGAAGTGTCCGCGATCTACCAAAAAACTTCCTCCGAGGAAGAGGGCGGGGAGCCGGCTCTTACAAGCTCATCTGCATACATGATTCCTAAAACTAAAGGCAGAAGCCGTCAGTTTTCTCAGGCTGTCCCTGCCTTAGTCATCTCGGGGCTCTTTAGGGTGCTTGATGTCATTTCTGAGCGCTTGCAGCCTAGAGGAGAAATGAGGAAAGCGTTTTCTCATTTGGCTTTTCTTCTAAATGAAACGTACAATCGAAAATTAGGCGGGGGTTGTGGCGGGGAACTGACAGTTACGTTGGAAGTCTCGCCAGTCATTCACTGGGGGGGGGGGTGATGTGCCAATGTTGGAATAACTTCTAATTCAGCAAACACTGATCCGCACCAGCGAGAAAGGAGAAGGCTAGTCCTCCCCTCTTTGGAGTCTCCCTTTTAAGTAGAGGCAAAATGAGGTCTCCTTGATAAGACTTCAGGCTCAGAGAGACTGTCTGGAGTTCTACGTGAACACATTTATTGGCCTGAGAGCCAGGCAGTTCTTGTTATACTAAACAAAGCGAAAACTTCTCTTCTGCCACTGCCAGGATCACAGGGAAATTCTGAACCGGACTTTCAGGTGGAGCCAGATGTGAACGCTGCAGAGTTTTTGATTAAAGCCAGGGTCTCTGATTTCTCACTGTGGGAATCTAGACTCCCTGTAAATATTTCTCAGTAGTCCATTCCAAAAATATTGTTTTTAAGATCATATTTTTCCTGGTAATGAAGCTCTTTTTAAGTGTTCCCATCATGCCACCCTGAAGTTGCCGGGTCTAAACTAATACTTAAGGTTACTGACTTAAGAACCCTATGTTAGTAAACACTGAAATTAATTTTACGAATGCTGGATGAACTGATAATACCACAGTTATAAAAATCAGTCAGACCCTCCTGCGTATGCAACTGATTGTGAGGGGGACAACATCCATGAATTCTACCCAGCTTGCTGGAATGCAGGCACACAATAGGCACTAATAAAATTAAAAATCTCACATGAAATTCTGTTATAAAGAAAAGACTACACACATTCCTGTCAGATTTAGAATACATGCTTCATATGTTCATACAGAAATCCTAGGGCGACCAAATAGCTTTTTTATTATTATCTGAATAATTTTATGTGTGTGGCACTCAGACTTGAAGCAGAAAAGGGAATAAACAGAAGAATGATTCCAAGTGACTGGAACCACATGGCACAGACGCACACTTAAAAGAATAAGTGTTTTGTTTATTCCCTTCCCACACCCCGCAGATGCCTACCCCTCAGGATAAACAGGGGTTAAAATTCAACATCCTGTATGTCATACTTCAAAAGCCACAAAACCACTAGAGGTGACTTCCGCCATTTTTTTCACACTCCTCAAAAATGTGCAGATGAGAATTGAGGTGTTTTTAGTAAAACTCATTTCAAGCCAGACTTGCACATACCTTCCCTCCTTTCTTCCTCAATTTGGCCATGCTGCTTCGTGCTTCAACATGAAGAATCTCCTCACTTCCTTTCTAGTGTGTCTGAAAAACCCGTTCCCTGCCTCTATTTCCTTCCAGAAGAACCCTTCTTCCAAGGAAGCTTTTCCTGAAGTGACAGAACCCTCTGGTCCTCCTTCCTGACCTGACATAAAAGTCCAACCACCTTCCAATGACTGGGGCTGCACTACCCTGGTGTCTTCCACATCACAACTGGTGGTTCCCAGTAACTCACATCAGATATTCACCAGGATGGTGGGGAGGAAGCAGTTTGCTCACACATTTTGAATTGATTGATGTGCAAAATGGCTGTGGAATGATATATCACATTTCTCCTTCAGGAAGAGGCCAAAAGGGATCTGATTTCCACTCATGATTGATGACGAAGGGAACACAGTAATTATAGCAGCAAAAGCACTGAAGGAGGAGAACTCTTCAAAGATCTACCAGTGAAGTGCTACCCCACAGCTCACTCACTGTCTATTACACAGAACGAGGACACACGTGCCCCTGGAGTTGGGACAACAGTGAGATGTCAGTGACTGGCCAACAGATGTGGCAGGACCTTACTCCACTGCCCTCTCTTATTCTGCTCAGGCACAATATTTTGCAGGTAGAAAGTTAAATTTTGAAATTAATAGGATTTGTTCCTTCCCAGATTCTTATGTCTTATGGTCATGTCTTAATCCACGCATCCCATTTTAGAGCCTTCTTATTACATTAACTAAAGTAGGAGGCACTGATGTTGGAGTGGTGGAAGGATGGGGGCTTCAAACTCCTGCTACTCACAGGTACAGCCAAAGCAAGAGACCAGTGCAACCAGGACTGACCTCCACACTAGAATTATATAGCTCTAGCACCAGATCCGGTGCTTGGTATCCAGCAGAGAGTAAATACTCAGAGGAATGGAAACCACAGTTTCTGGGTATACTTGGGTGTCTCCAGGCTGATGGTACCTCTGCAGCACTGTGGGAAGAGCACCAGCTCTGAGGTGAGACTCACGCATTTTGACTTTCTCTTCTACCTCTACTGGACCTCTATTTCCTACATCTTAAAATAAGGATAAGAATATTTATCTCATAAAGTTATAAAGAGATTAAATGAGATAAAGTATATAAAGTGTCTTGCATGGTAGATCAGTTCTACGTAGGTGATCAATACACCAGAGTATAGTTATGAATGGCAATCGAAGTAAACCCCAAACCTGGTATTTGTGGGTGGGGAGGCATAGGAAGGGAGACAGAAGAATTGCATCTTCAACAATGGGTTTTATAGTCAGGATCAACTACATCACTTTCAGGGCCCAGTGCAAAACAAAATGCAGGATCCCTTGTTCAAAAAGCAGGAAAAAGTGTTGTGAAAGGTAGTCAAATACGAAGCGTTTTTCTTCCTTCTGGAGCCTCTCTCTCGACCTGTCATGTCGTGTTGTATTTTTTAAATAAACTTTTTATTTTAAAATAGTTCTAGATTTACAGAAAAGTTGCAAAGATAATACAGGAGTTCCCATACATTCCGCCTCCAGGTTTCCCTATTGTTAACATCTTAAAATGGCATACTTGTTACAATTAATAAATGGCAGGGTGTGTTTTATTTACTCTTTAATATTGTGTCCCCCCCAAGCAGAGGGATACCATGAAGTGACTGCAGACCCTTATAAGACCCCAGAGGCCCTGCATCCCATGACTTCGGGTGCATGCACAACTTACCAGTTGCTGGGGTGCCCCTATCTGCCAGCTTCCAAATTGATGTGCTCTGTCTCAGCCCAAAGCAGGCTCTGGGAAAGTCAGACCTCTCCCTTCCCCACAGTACCAATACCCCAACCCACAGCAGGCAGGCAACCTCCAAGGTGATACCATATTAGAGAAGAACAAATCTGACTCCTTATGGTATCTGTTCCTTTGGCTTTAACCCTGTGCTCTGTTTCCTGTGCTTAGTCATGCTGGTTCTGCACCTTTTGTAACAGAACGTTGCCTATAGCCTGAAATGCACAGGAGAGCCTATTCTCAAGGCTCTGACCTTTAAGGGTATTAACACTCTTCCATTTACATAAAGGTAAAAAGTTGCAGAATAGAAAATAACATTTGTTTTGTTGGAGGTTTGCAGGGATACCACGACCTGACCCACATGAATAGCTGCAAAAACAAAGGATTCTAACACCAATAAGTTTGCAACAACCAACCACACCCTCTCCCTTTTTTTAGTATAAAAGAAGCCTGAATTCTGGCTTGGGGAAGATGGTTCTCCAGGACATTAGTCTGCCATCTTCTTGGTCTTCTGGTTTTCCAAATAAAGTCGTTATTCCTTGCCCCAACACCTCATCTCCCAGTTTATTGGCCTGTCATGCAGCGAACAGAATGAGTTTGGATTCTGTAACACTATCATCTCGGCACTGGGATGTGCTAGATACCTGTGTGAGGGCTAGACAAGAGGTTCACCTCCACCAAGACACAGCCTCTGTCTACCATGTTACAGCCAGGCCAGCCCAGGGCAGGGATGGCTGCTACCATTCCCCATCTGAGACTTTGCAAGGCACACAAGCCCAACTCAGACCCTCTCTGCACCTGGACCGAGGCCCCCCACTCCAGGAATGGACAACAGCAGCGGTCATGGGGTAGGGATAGGGAGCTGGATGCTGGATGAGCCCTGAGGTGCCAAGGATCAGAGAAACAGGAGGTAGGCAGGTGGCAGGAGATGGGACAGTACGTGAGCCAAGGCTCCAAGCCACTGGAGTATGTGCACCATCTTCCTATCAGACTTTACTTACATAACACAAGATCAAAGATAAAATGATTACTACAAGTTTCAAGACTGATTATGGGGCCCTTCTGAGTAAGGGGCCCTGTGCAGCTGCACAGGTAATGTGCCCATGAAGCTGGTCCTGTTTCTTTTCTTACAAAAACAGCTCTGAGAAGGAAGGATGTTTAGCACCCCAGAAGCAAGTCTCAAAGGGATAAGAGCAGGTAATGGGACCATGGGGTGACCCTATTTGTCAAAAATTTCCAGAGGGAAAAAGGGGCAGGGAGATGCAACCTCCTTTCCATCCTTCCCTTCTTTCCATTTTTCACTTCAACAAGAGCAACAAAGGAAGATTTACTTCCTTCTGTAAGTCTGACAAGTATTGCATTTGACCCTGAGAAACAGGAAGAGAGGATGGATGAATAATTACCATCAAAATTAATCCGGTAATAATACGTGGCATTCATATAGCTCTTTTCTCAAAGGAGCTCCAAGCACACTACCCATTCATCCTTGCGACATCTCTGTGCGACAGA